GAGAGAGAGAGAGAGAGAGAGAGAGAGAGAGAGAGAGAGAGAGAGAGAGAGAGAGAGAGAGAGAGAGAGAGGGCTCCGAGTTGAGATTGTGCATATTTCTTGTCCCTGCCATGGCGGCAGCCTTGAACATATCTTGAGTGAGTGAAGAAGGGAGGGGATCAAAAGAATTATGTCATTTGTTAGGTGTGTGTTGATTGGGTGGGCGGAAAAATAGCCGAATGGTCGAATGTACAGATAGGAAGTGTAAGGTAGGTAATAAAAATAATAAAAACGACAAAAAAGCTAGGTCGGCATGTATATCGTTTACGCAGCTAATATCTAGGAGTGCGTATGTGAAACAGTAAGGACGACTAAGGGCCTTGTTGCCCCACGCACCATTCGCCAAGATTTTGAATGCGTCTGGACACAGCTCATGTCCAGATGCATTCAAAATGTTGGCGGATGGCGAGTGGTGCAACTATGGCCTACTAAGGAGTAAGGCGGTAAGTCTATATAGATGGATAGAAGAGAAACTGTGTTCAACGAAAATGAAGGGGGTGGGGGCAAAGGGAAAGGAGAGAGGAAATAGGACGGTTTATTGAGATATACATGTATATATCTATACGTATATATGTGATCTATATGTGATCTATTGATATCTATACAGATGGATAGAAGAGAAACTGTGTTCAGCGAAAATGACGGGGGTGAGGAAAGGAGAGGGGAAATAGGACGGTTGTCCTCTTCTCTCTCTCTGCCTACGGTTTACCGGGCAGTTCTGTTTGTGACGATATATATGTGTATATCTATATATATTGTATATCTATATCTATATATATTGTCACTCTGTGAAACGGAGCGCAAAAGCGGAAAAAGACAAAACAAGAAGGAAGGAAGGAAAGCCCCACCTGTTCATCACCTCTTATGTATATCTATATGTATATAATCTAAATATATGTATATATATCATCTGTTGATATCTCTGTGTTAGGTATCTAGTAGTATAGTAGTATGTTAGAATGTGACAGTATTCAAGTTTTGAACCGAAGGTTTTGTTTCGTTTTCTTCAGTTTTACCTGTTTTCAGCTGCTCCCGTCTTTACCTGTTTTGTTGCTTGTGTGCACTTTCTGTATTCTTAATGCCAAGTTTCGGCTATCCACGGTAATGGATTTGTGTATGTATATATACAGTTACCTTCTGTATGTGCTGCATGTATGTATATTTATGCACGCGTAAATATAAACAGTTTGTCACAGCCCCTCGTTTGGTGTCCTCTTCTCCCTCTCGGCCTATGGTTGACTATATATTGTCACACTGTAAATCAGAGCGCGAAGGCGAAAAAAAAAAAAAAAAAAAAAAAAAGGAAAGGAAAAGAAGAAAGGAAGGAAAGCCCCAACTGTTCATCACCTCTTACGTACAAGGCCAGCCACGTGGATGACATATGTACATATGATTATATAGTGTAATTCCTTGATTGATTGCTGAGCGGTTACTTTTCTGTGTAGGTGGTTGTCTTGTAAGCTATCTT